TCTAACATCTTCCAAAGCAATGAAGAAAAGAAAAAAACAAGAGAAGGGAAGAAAGGAAAAGGCTTCCTAATTCTATCTCTAAAGTTAACAGAGCCTAATGCCAAAATACAATAGAGATAGCACAATAAGAAGACACTGTATAGACTAATCTCATTTTTTACTACAATTCCAAAATCATAAATAAATTAGTGACGAGTGTAACTAACTTACAACCATGTCATGTACCATGACAAATGAGGGCCATGGTCATAGGAAGGATACAAGAATTATGTGGGATTTTACCTCATCATACTAAGAGGCCAAAGAGGCTCGAAAGGCATATAAAGAGATTCTATATCCACTCATGACAATCTTTTAGTAAAAGAGAAGACACATGGTGCAGCGCTGTGCTTGGTGGCATGGAATGCTGGAAGCATTCCCAATAAAGGCCAGAATAAGGCAGTCGCCACTGTTATAGAACAGTTCTTAAAGAGACAGCCATTGAAATAGGGTGATAAATGAGAGGTCGCAAAATTATTTGCAGATAAATTATTTTATATTTTGCATGTCAAAACAACCAACAACAAAATTATTAGAAATAACAATAGCATTCATTATTAGAAATAACAATAGCATTCATTGTCCCGTTAAGACAACATATGGAGGCTTGGGAAGTTAATATCTTGTGCAAAAGAGAATGGGACTGAGAGACAGGGACTGGGATGAAAAGAAGAATTAAGGTGCATTATGTACCTATACCAGCTCCCCACAACAGATGTTATACTACCTATCCACTGCAAACAGGTACTAACAAAAATTTAAAAAATAAGATGCACACAGACCAGGGTACGAACAGCAAAATAAGGTATGAACAGTCCCATAAAAGACCCACACCTGAACAAAATATTAGCCTTCCACAAAAAAAAAAATCTAGTAATCATCTAAAACTAAAACAGTGAAGCCAGATGTGGTGGTCCACATTTATAACCCCAGCTCTTTGAGAGGCAGACGCAGGAAAATCACAAGTTCAAGGCCAGGCTGGGCAACATAGGAGGTTCAAGGTCTAACCTTGAACTTGACTACCACATAGTAAGACTCAAAAACAAAAAAAAATCCTGAATTTCCAAATCATAAAAAATAATTAAAATGCTCACTAAGATCCCACCCTGCCTCAACTATCAACTTCAGCAGAGGTTCTCCAAGCCCAAGGCGCTATCAGTGGGTGTTCAAAGCTAAAAACCTCTCTCACACCCAGGCTTTCTCTGCCTTTTTCACTCGATGCCTTCCAGACAGTAATGTGGGGGTCAGCAAACTGAGCAAGCCGAATGATCACCACAGTGCTGTCAGGCAGCAGACCACACGGACTGCAGGCCTTTACAGGACCATGCTGAATGCTTACGAGTTCTTGTCTTTTCTAGAATTTTCTAGATACTAGATTTAAAGTATGACTAAGTAAGTGCATTCAGAGGCTAAGAGTATTTGCACTATAGTTACAGCTGTTGTAACTATATTGACCTCATTGATATTCAACAAATCATTATTCTAACACCAAAAATTATCCTTAAATGTACACAGAAACACAATTCATGTATCTTTATTTTGCAATAATATTTTAAAATGTCTTAGTTCTAATTCAATTATAGGAATATCAGTAGATAATATCTACAAACACAAAAACCCATTTGCGGAAAAGGGGCTGTTTAAAGTTAAATGACACTCAGGATCACAAAATCTGCAAAGGACTCTCATTCATGAATATGCCGACAGGGATGAACAGTAAATCCAAGATGTGCTCTGTGCATCCACTACTTCCACGATGAATGTGGTCATTGTGTACTACACACATGGACTAATAAAAATAAACAATGGATAAATAAAACCTCAAGATAAGCTGAAGTCACGCCCTGTGTGCGATGTACTGTTTCTGACCCTCAAACCCCTGCTGCTAAACAAGACAGAGGCTATGGTGAGGAGACGGACAAACAGGACATGGCAGGCTGACAGTGCGCTCGCCTCTGCAGTTCCCATGCTCTGTGAAGTGACACAGGAGGATGGAGGGTAGTAGTCAGGCCAGGACCCAGGGACAGCTGCCATCTGGAAACACCACCGCAGAGATGAGGCAGCCATGAACGCTTCACTGAAAACCCACAGCAGAGGTGTCTTGACACAGAGGCAATATAATGGAGTCTTCGTGCAATGAGATAAAAAGACTTCACTGCCAAGTAATTCATGTGAATCACTGCAATTAGGAGTAACCTTCTCATGGCCAAACACAGCAGCTCTGGAGTCAGCTGTGGGGAGAAGAGGGAGGAAAGAGGGAGCAGTAGACTTCTGCAGGGAAGGACTCTTGAAGAGGTCCCCAAGTATCAGAGACAGAGGACCACACAACACACCCGGCCCAGGAAGAAAGGCACTAGGAGGGAACAAGAGTCACTTTTGCATGAAGTGGGCCCAGCAGAGCATCACTACCATCACAGTCACTCCATGAATGCTGGGTGACACACACTCCCTGCCGCCTCCCTAGAGGAAAGGGTCTGAGATTCACAGAACTATTTTCTTAATGCAACGATTGAAGTTTTGTAGACAACCAGGGCTGAATGCTCACTATCAGAGAAACTGATGCTTTTCATAAAGATACAAATATTTCCTGGCCCAACACGGAGAAACAGTGCACACACATGTAATATGTAATATTTGCTTTGGGGCCAGGCATGGTGGTGCACTGCTGTAATCCCAGCACTCGGGAGGCTGAGACAGGAGGATCCTTGTGAGTTCAAGACCAGCCTGGACTACAAAGTGAGTCCAAGGCCAGGCTGAACTGCATAGCGAGACCCTGTCTCAAAAAAATAAGTTGTTTTAGGTAAAGAAACACAATATTAAAACAAAAAAAGCTTTTCACACAAGCATGAACTAGGATTAAAAATGCATATGCAAGCACAACACAAGCAAAGAATCTTTCTAGAAGTCTTAGGAAGAATTTATGGTGCTCTTAAGGTTATGGTTTGTTTCAATAACAAATTTCAAAACCTTAAATGGTGCAAAAAGTACTAACATGTTAACTGTAACCAGATTTTATATTATCCTGAGCAAGAGAAGCTAGTTAAAATATGCTTACAAATGCTGTGATGTTTTAAAGAGCAAATTGCAATTTTCCTAAATATCAAGAGGGCAAGAAATGAGAAACAGCCGTGTGGTTTCCCAGACTTGATATTTAGAGGCTCACAGGAAAGTAAGATCTGTACAAACTCCGAGGGAGGGGTCAGGGCTGCTCCGGAAGCTACGCGGTGAACAGAGGGCTACAAGAACATGAAAAGAGAAGGGAAAGACATGTGGACTTATGAGTGTTGAGCGACATTTACTTGTGACAGGAGGAGAAGGAGGAGAACAGATGACACACCAAGAGGTGGCCTTGCCACCAAGGCTCCTGAAGGTCGAAGCAAACTGTATGAATCCAATCCAACCATCAATTCTGCTGTGGCCTTGAACCATTAGTACTTCTTGCTCTTGCATTTGTATCTGCTAATGAGAGGGCAAGGTGTCTTATTCCCCCAGTGTGCAACCCAGGGGAAAGAGAGGTGCTAGGACTTTCCAAGCCTAACTAGCAGCACTGGGTTTCCATGGACTAGCTTTGAGCCAAATGCTTGGTCTACTTTGGTTGGCTGGCTTGGTCCTGCGCAAACATCTCATCTTGATGATCTCGCTGATAAACAATTTGATTACTAAAGTCTTGGTTATTTCCCTCTCTTCCAGTTCTGATGCTCTTACAAAATGCATATGCACTTTAAAAAGAATCACAATATTCAACTATTTTTAAGGAAAAAAGAAACATCAGAAGAATAAAATTTCAAGGACTCGCATCCAAATTAAATACACTGAGGCCTGAACTGTGAAACCACTAGTTATTGAAGCATGCACCTGCACAATAACAGACTTGGATGTCCTGGGGTCAGCAGGCCTGGGGGCACGGCAGTGAAAGAGGAAGTGGAAGCCTCTTCATTCAATGCATTCATTCTGAAGGATGGCATTTGCCATCAAAAGGGATACAGGCTTTCAGAATATGCTCTCTGGCCCAGGTCACAAGAGCAAGGAAGAAAACCAGGTAATCCTTCTGCAGTCACTTTCTGAAATCACCTCCAGCTTTCACCAGGATGCAGGTAGCTGTGCTGGCCAGTTCCTACCCCAAGTCATCTGCTAGATATCCTCCTGCAGTAATGGTCTGGCATACCTTTCGGCCTTTCAAGGCGCTGTGCCAGAAACTTCCTGATAACAAAGCTAATTATCTAGTCTGCTTGGCCAGGTCAGTGTTGCTCAAGCTTCTCTATTGCAGAGTATACACAAAACTCTGTGTGACTGGAAAACATACTACCTCCATTTAACCCCCTCAGAAACTGGCAAGGTGAAATGCTCCACTTGTAAATGCTCCTCGCCCTCAAGCTCCTTAGTGTGTGGTCAGGTAGGGCCTTGGGCATAGCTCCTCACCCATGTGTTCGTAACTCCTTTTTTCTCTGCAGCCAGAGGACCCGTGACTTAGATGTCAATCACAGAAAACTAGACAGGCTTTCTCTATGGCCTAGAATCAAAATTCTCCCGAAAGATAATCTGCTTAGAAAATTTAGGATGATCCATATGTACAATGACAGAAATTTTTTTAATACTGAATTAAAGCAAAATCAAGGGTAAAATACAGTATTTTTGTGCATGAGATTTTAAAGATTTGATTCTGTTCTTATCACCCACAGGAAGACTGGAAGACCACTGGGAATGTTGGCACTAGCTATGGACACAAGGCAAAGCCTAGAGGAATGGGAAACAGCAACTACTGCCCACACAAACTTCCGGACAGCACTTCTGTCCCCTCTTTTGGAACCAGCAGCAGAAGCCTGACAAGGAGCCCCACCCCTAATTTTTGTCACAGGTTAGACACGGAACACACCAATTGTGCTGTGTGACTCACTCGGTCACAAAGAGAGAAGCCCACTGCTTCATTATCCACCAAACCCATGCAGCAGTCCAGGCCTCACCTTTATCATGACTACAAACTGAGAGCTTCTTAACACCATCCACCAGCACATTCTGTGTGCCACCATGTCCATCTTCTGAGTCACTGTCATCGTACTGAGCCTCTATAATCACATCAGGACTGTCATTATAGCCTCTCAAGGACTGCAGCGGGAGGTGGTGTCCACAGAGCTCCTCGGGGAGCTCAGATTCATAGGCAGCTTCTGCTACTTTGTCATTGCTCTCTGGTTTAATTACCTGAAGAAAAGAGAAAAATTCTGCTAAGTTATTGGGACATAGGAGGCGAGAAAAGAGTAGACTGTTCTTTTCTAAGGAAAACTACCTATTTGGAAGCTGACAGCATTAAGCAATCTCCATGTGATTTGAAAAAGGACCTTTATTTTCCCAATGCAAGGGCTGTCTTGCTGGGTATGATGGCACACACCTCTAATCCCAGCACTTAGGAGGCTGAGGCAGGAGGATGCTGTGAGTTCAAGGCTAGCCTGGGTTACAAAGTGAGTTCAAGGCCTGCCTGAACTGCACATTAAAATCCTATCTCAAAAACCAAACCAAAACAACAACAATAAAAGGCTGTCATGAGGTAAACCAGCAGAGTGTGGCTGGCTTTTCAAGATGCCCCAAATTAATGCTGTGTGCACCTCACATTTTTCTAAATACCAAAAGTGCCACCCTTAAGAGTCCACTGCACAATAGCAAGTAGTACAGTAGCAATGATAAAAGAACTCAATCAAGGAGGAAAATGTGCTCTCAAGTGAAAGCACTAAAAGAGAAGATGAGATTTTTAAAGACAAAAGTACAAACAACAGTTTTAAAATGTTCCTATAAAATATCGAGCCTTAATTATTCATTTTGAGGACCGAAATCAGTAAGAATCATGCAAAAAGCAAGGAATCCAGACACTAAGTCATTTAAGTGAGTCTGTGACATGATGATCACAGTCTCTGACATCTTTGGGCTGTAATAAAGTAAACAAGGTACTGCTGAGTAACCGAGAAAAACAACAACTTAGAGCCTATTCAGAAATCTCCCCATCCACATTAGCGAGATGGCAGCAGCAGACTTTACACTTTAGAGGTTCCAGATATTACTCGGAACATCATGTCCTTCTTAAGAACCTTATTTCAGAATAAGAAATCTATACACAATTAAAATAGAAAATTAAATGATCACATGTGTGCCTATATGATATAAAAAACAAATCTTGTCATTACATGTAATGGATTCCCTTCATTCTTTCAAATGAGTGCTGAAAAGTACAACTTACACCAGGACCCCTGAAGGCTTCCATTCTAGTGAGGTGACAGATGGGGACACTTTACCTATGTAGCACTTCTTGTTTTGGGGCACCCAGCAAGTGCCAGGCACCAAGAAGGCAGCGGTGAACCCAACTGAAAGGCCACCAGCAGTAAGTGTGAGTAAAAACATCAAACGAATGCAAAGTTGTAAGCTGATGAGCGAAACACCAAGAAGCAGGGGCAGCTCGCTCAGCAGGCAGTGGCGGGTGAGTGGAGAGGCCAGGAGGGAGCGGCGGCTTCTCTCAGGTCCCTCCCATGCTTATATGACAGTTTGATCTGGAGACTTCAAAATAGATACCCACTTTGGCAAACCAGACATACAGTTTAATTAGATCAGACAAAGAGCATGGTAATGCAAGATCTACCTCTTACCCAAGGAATAAAAAGTTAATAAATTTCCCCTCCATATGTTCCAACACAGCCATCCCTAGATACTTAGTATTATGACACCCACTTAGAAAACCAGTGTAAAAGACTGCAAAGAAATCTTCAATCTGAGTGAAGACTGAGAACATAACCCCAAAGTTTAAAAAATGCCAGCTTAATAAAAATATAATAACAGAGAACTCCTGAGATCCGGCCATGGTGGAACTCAGGCAGCTTGTTAACTTGCCCTCTTGGTAAGAGCCTGCAGCATGGGCCAGGAGGAGAATCAGAACTCCTTAAATCCGACCATGGTGGGACTCAGGCAGCTTATTCCCCCACCCTCTTGGTAAGCACCTGCGGTGTAGGCCTGGAGGAGAACCATTACCTGTGAGCCTACTACCACATGGCTAAAAAATCAAGCACCCTTCCCCCAGCCCCCCACCCCATAGCTTAGCTGGGGATAGATGTCTCAGCATCTCTTGGGAGGAATGACTATATGCAGTATAGCAAATATGGGGGATTTCCTTCTATCTTCTGTTTGAAGGCAAAGGTTGTTTTCACTGTTTTGTTACGTTTCTTTTGCTCTATTCAGTATTCTCAATTGGTTTTATAATGTTCTATTTTTGGTTTGATTTTGTCATACCTAGTTGACTGGACAACTATTGTGAAGTTAAAGAGATATACCATAGTACCTATTACTACTATCCCAGTATCCTACTGTGAAATCCTGTACCAATTTCATTGCATTGTCTCGATTGGCTTTGTTCTGTCTTGTGCTGTTGCATTTTCACTACTTTCAAAATAAAAATTTTTTAAAACTGTAAAGAAAAAATATATATATAATAACAGAAAAATATGTAAACAAGTCACATTTTTGACCAAAATTGTGGCTTTTGATAAAAAATTTTAAATACTTGGTTCCCAATCTCCAGAAGTATTTACTAGAAGTTTCTTTGAATTTATGCTATGTTTTGACTCTTGCCAGATTCATTCATTCACTCACTGTTTCTATCAGAAGTTTAGCGCTGTGGTGCTACCCACAAGTGCTCCTTCAAGGAGGGGCCCAAGGACATCTTTTTTGAGACCATGATCCCAGCCACTTTGTGCTTCTGACAAAGAAAAGGAACCAACACAATCAGCTCTCCACACTGTTCTTGTGCTCTGACCCCCACCGCCTGCTTTCAGATAGGACCCTAAGTAGATCCTTCGAACAGAGCCGGGGAGATAGCTCAGCTGCAAAGCCCCTGCCTGGGAAGTATAAGGTTGTGAGTTCAGTTCCCAGTACCAAAATAAAAAAAGTAACACTGGGTAAATCAGGAAACCACTCAGCTCACTGGGACATGCCTGGGTATCCAGGGTATCCAGGAACATGTGCCCTCGACACCCTCAGAGAGTTAACACCACCATGGCTCTGTCAGAGCAGCCCAGTGCAAATGGTAGTGCGCTGCAGAGGGTGTGGCTAAGGCTGGTGGCTGCAGCCTGGCCACTGGGCTGCTGCTTTCCCTTTCTCTTTCCCATCAAGCTCTGCCTACCTACCTGCTGCCCTCTCACTAAGAGCTCCTGTCAGTGGGAAAGCATTTGCCTACCATGCGTGAGGCCCTGCACTCAACCTCCTGCAAGAATGGGGTGCTAAGACTCCCTGGCAGGATGGCTGGGTGAAGTTTACACTGGGACACAGACAAGACAGGTGGGATAGTTGCATCACACTACAAAAACTACAGAAGCTGTCAAAGGCTTCTAGGGGTTTTTTTAAAGGACTCAGGAACCACCATAAAGGGGCTTTCTCTGGTCAACCCTGGAGATTTCTAAGCGTTTATCCTACATTCTCTATATAATCTGTACCTCATGGTAAGCAAATAGCTGGTAAGTTAAAATTCATCTTTATAAATGTTTCAGTTAATTAAATGAAGAAATAAAGACTTTCGGTGTCACTATTTTGCCATCCCTGCTGAAATCATGAATTCAGGAGGTTATCGCCATGGGTGCTAAAACCAGTAAGGCATAAGCTGACCAGAAGGGAGTTTTATAATAGGTAAAACACATTAGTAATTCCTGAATCCACTGATCAACATGAATATCAGCAAGAGAGAAGAAACCAAAGTGTTTCTTGATTCACCATGGTAAGAGTACACAAAACCTATGAAGCTGCACCCTGCCCCTGCCCCATGCTGAAACTAAGTCTGATCTGACACAGGCAATAGAGGAAATGGAGGAACAGCTTAACACTATCACGTTACATTCAATGAGAGTCATGATATGGGAAATCCTACAAGACAACGACCCAGTCTGGCCAATAAATAAGCTGCAAAAAAGAAAAATAGTGAGTCCACAGATTTAAATACTTGTCACATACCAACCAAAGGCAATATGCGGGTTTTATTTGGCTCCTAATTCTAATTAATCAAGTATTCAAAAAGGAGGCATAAGAAGAGAGAATCAGGACAATTTGAATGTAGATTAATGAATATCATTAACAAATTGTGATTATGTTAAGATCTCTCACTTTGGGACACAACTGAAGTATTTATGAACGAAAGGATGGCTCTATCTACACTAATAGGGGATTACATCCAGTCTTATGGCTTTAAATATCTCTGACTTGCTTGCTTTTCTCTCGTGCTGAGACAAAATACCCGATGCTCACATTAAAGAAGAAAAGGTTTAGTCAGCTCACAGTTTGTAGGCATTTCAGTCCATAATCAGCTGTCTCCAAGGTAGGGTAGCACATTGGCAGAAGGTTGACAATTCATGGTGGCAAAAGACAGCAAAAGCAACAAGAGCAAAAGGGGAGAAGAGCAACAGAAGACTCTTTCTGTCCCCTATATTACATGCAGACCACCCACCCTAGAATGGTATAGTACTCATATCTATAATCTCAACATTGGACCAGGAATCTTTCACAAACTCTAGATTCAGCCACCTCTGAAAAGCAACCCCCCATGACTGCATGAGGCTTTGTGGGGATATCCAGACACAAACCATAGCAACTCTTTATGCTATTACTTCCCAAAATTAAATGTCAGGCCTCAGTATCTCCCCTCACACCAAACTTATATCCAACTGCCTATGTGATGTCAGGCACTCATGTGAACAAGAGGACTCATGACTCCCATGGGAGCTCAAGCCTCACCAGCACGCCTGTCCCAGCAGAAGGCTCACTCAGACACTCCAGTCCAGGATGTGGCAGCAGTCTGGACCCTTTCCTTCTGCTCGTAACTACATTCCCTCCATCAGAAGAGCCCACTAGTCCTGCCTGCAAGTCTATTTTCTTCCGTTCTACCAAGCCAAAAAACCTTTATTTCCTTGCCAAATTACGGCAAAAACCACTCTCCCAATGCCCACTTTGAACCAAAGCAGCTAGGGTGGTCCTGTACGGGTAAATCTGATCACATTACTCTTCCTGGAGTCTCCCAGGCCTCTCCCACTGCCATGACAGCCAGCCTGACCAGATATGGTCTCATCTGTTTTTCCATCCTCATTTTCTACAACTTTCTCCTTCACAAACTACATCCTTAGAGACTATCACAAATTACATTCTTAGAGACCATCTTCATAGGCCCACAACACTTCAAATCT